ATGTGGAAATTGATAGACACTTCATCAGGGAGAAAATTGAAGAAGGCACCATTAAGTTGTCCTACGTCAGAACCAAAAGTCAAGTAGCAGATTTATTCACCAAGCCATTGCCGAGAAATTCGTTTGAAGAACTAAAGAGCAAGCTGGGAATGATCAACATTTATTCTCCAGCTTGAGGGGAAGTGTTGGAAAGACGAAGCCCAAGGCCCAAGTCAAATAAACTTAGTTTTACTTGTTAAGTAGTTTTAGTTTACTCATTTATTTTCCGTCTTAGATCAGATAGGGATAGATAGCAATATCCTATCTTGAGTTATCCTTGTTCGGTTATATATACGTTGTATTCCTCCTCATTCAGATATATAATAAAAGATAGAATTATTTCCGTTAACTTCAATAGGCATCAAGCACAATTTTCACAAATTCGTAAATAGGCATCATAATCAAGTTCGAAGTGGTGCAGTGATCAACTATCATTTCTCACAAAAAAACATGCAATTTTGAATGATTAAAAAGCATGCAAGGAAAATTAAGGCCCCTTTGAATGTAAGTTCAAACCTCAATCAATTGCAATCTTCCCACAATTGTAAATAGGCATCAAAATCAAGCATCATGTGATTCAATAATCAAGTGTCATTTCTCACAAAAGCCACATAATGAATTTTATGCAAGGAAAATTCAGGCAACTTTGCATGTCAAGTTTAAACCTCTGAACCAATCTCGCTTATCCTATATTTGTAAATATGCATCATGCTCTATTTTCCCACATTTATAAATTGGCATCAATCTCATTTTCTCAAATAGGCATCCAAATCAGGCATCAAATGATGCAATGATCATCAATCCTTGTAATTGTGATAATGCAACCTCATTTTCCCACATACGTAAATCGGCATCCAAATCAAGCATCAAATGATGTAGGGATCATCAATATTAGCAGCTGCATATGCACCAGAAATTTGTCAAAGTACATGTAAGGGGGCTATAATGCAACAAAGACATGAAGAGTCTGAGCTACAGAGCAAAAGTAGACCCCCATAATTACTTTATGCACGTTGAGATTAGGCATCAAATGATAAAATGTCAATGAGCCTCATAGGAGTGCATTAAGTATACAAACTCAAATATTAATGCAGGTATGTTTATTTACATCATAAGACTATCATTTTCTCACAGAAGCCATATATAATTTTGAAGGAATACGAGGCATAAAAGGAAAATTATGGCTGTTTTGCATGCCAACTTCAAGCTTCCAAATCAATCTCAATCTTCCCACATTCGTGAATAGGCATCAAAATCAGGCATCATATGATGCGGTGATCAAGTATCATTTCTCACAAAAGCCACATAATGAATTTTATGCAAGGAAAATTCAGTTTGCATGTCAAGTTTAAACCTCTGAACCAATCTCACTTATCCCATATTTGTAAATATGTGTCATGCTCAATTTTCCCACATTTATAAATTGGCATCAATCTCATTTTCTCAAATAGGCATCCAAATCAAGCATCAAATGATGCAATGATCATCAATCCTTGCAATTGTGATAGGCATCAACCTCGTTTTCCCACAAACGCAAATCGACATCCAAATCAAGCATCAAATGATGTAGGGATCATCAATATTAGCAGCTACTCAAGCACAAGAAATTTGTTAAAGTACATGTAAGGGGGCTATAATGCAACAAAGACATGAAGAGTCTGAGCTACAGAGCAAAAGTAGACCCTCATAATTACTTTATGCACTTTAAGATTAGACATAAAATGATAAAATGTCAATGAGCCTCGTAGGAGTGCATTAAGTATACAAACTCAAATACCAAAGCAGGTATGTCTATTTACATCATAAAGCTTCCTTTTCCTCATAGAAGGCACATGCAATTTCGAAGGAATACAAGGCATAAAAGGAAAATTATGACAGCTTTGCATGCCAACCTCAAGCTTTTAAATCAATCTCAATCTTCCCACATTTGTAAATAGGCAAGAAAAATTCAGGCACCTTTGCATGTCAAGTTTAGACCTTTGAACCAGTAAATTTTCCAATTTCCGACACTCAACAGTCAATTCCAAATTTCAGATAATTCAATAATCAAAAGCACAGATTTCACAAACGCTGCCCAATGGAACATACATAGAAAATGAAATAAATGATATTTATCCAAGCATCATTGAATCAAAAGTATGATGCAAGAACTTCAATATAAAGCCACCAAAACATTTGACATATATTAAGAATTAAAATAAAATAAAATAAAAGGCAGAAACAAAAATACAGCAAAATCAATAGAATGGATTTGAAAAAAAAAATCTTTTTAATATTCCAATAGGGTCAGAATAGCAAACAGGAAATTCCCAAGGTGGGTCGTTTTTCACATTGTGCTACCTCGATTCATTACTCAGATGTTGAACCTAAACCGTGCTCTATAGACATCACAATCCCCTGCTGGAGAGAAAAAAATAGAGGCACACGCTAGCCCTTAAGAAAAAAAGTGCTTCTTGCGTGTGATTGCCTCTAACTTGAAAAAAGAGGTTTTCAGAACAGCTGTAAATGAATAGGAAATTACCCATCCCACGGAAAGATACTTTCTTCTTTTAAGAGAGCTGGCCCTTCCTGAACGGTTTCTCCGCGGTCACGCGAAGCCCGACGCCCTAACCCATATTTTCACACTTGCTTATAGTGCGCCGCTAACAGGGCTGTTGAAAAGTAGGGTTTTCCTTTCCCTCTTTCGCGCCATCAGATTTGTTCAAAAATTTTACCGTTTTATATTTTATTTTGCCTTATTATAAAAATAAGATTAATTAACTCTAAATGAAAATTAAACCAAATTTATTTTTTCTAACAAATAATATGCTTTCCTTCAAAATCTTTAAAAAAATTAATTTTACCTACCATAAATCATTTTTTAAGTTTATGTTTTGGTCCTTTAAATTTATATTAAATTTTAGTTTTGTTCTTTAAGTTTGTAAAGTATATTTTTAGTCTTTGCTCAAAAAAAAAGTATATATTCAATCATTTAACATTAAAATTATTAGTTTTATTAATGAAAAATATGACCCAACACATTTAAATGATGAATGTGTAGTTACATGCTAAAAAAGAAAGCTTAAAATATAATCTTTTAATATAAAATTCTTATATTTTGAAAGATGAGTTTTTATGTTGAGAGTTTAGATTCATTTCATAAACTTTGAATTAATTATATGTTGAGAGTTTATTAAATTATTAGATTCATGTTGAAAGATAGGTATTTAAATGATATGAAGGGACTGATAATACATTTCATAAACTTAGAATTAAAATGAAACTTGATCTAAACTTAGAATACTAAAGATGTATTTTAGCTATTATTTTTTATAACATCATAGTAAACTTGTGACAACTGATATTTTTATTATTAAAACTCAAAAGTTATTATAAATTAACAATTAGGCATTAAATATATTATTCTATTTTTACTAACTTATATATGGTATAATCCTAGCTCGTATAAATTATTACACACTCCTGACTTATTATTTATTTTTTGTCAACAAAACTTTTCTGCACCATACGAAACTCTCAAATCTTATTTTTAATACAATACTTAAGGCTATAATTTTATTTCTATATTAGAAAAAAGAATATATTAGAATTTTGTTTTACAGTATATAGGACCATGTTAACAATATAATTAAATTATATTATTATTTTATGAACAAACCAGGGGCTCTCACATACACATATAATTTCTCTTCATGGTGAACAAATTTACAAACTCACCCACTCATCATCCTTGTTCATTCGAAGAAACCTTAAGCAAGGTTCAAAAAATTAAACTGGTTAACAAACCGGTGGTTTAGAAATGAATGAATCAGATTAGGATCAACTCAAAATTAGACCGGTTATAATTAAAATAATATAATTTAATTAAAATATTAAAAAAATGTTTTATTCTGAAAAAAATACTTAATCTTATTTAACATGAACAAATTCTAGATCAATCTATCTTTTTTTTTTTCCAGATCAAATCTGCCTAATTTTACTTTTAGTGGAGGTTGCAACCACGCAGTCTAGACTCCAAGCCCATTTCCTTCACCACCATCATAAACTTACAAAATAGCACTCTGATTCTGTCCAGTGAAACAGTAGACAAGCCATTGCTTAATACATGGCCATCCATAAATAAAGATACAAGTTAACTTGATTCCCCAAAAAAAAAAAAATACAAGATGACAAACCAGAAAGAATAAACAACTTCACATGCGAAATCATTTTTTTTTTTCGGTTGCCCAGACCACCCTCTGGCAACCCAAAAAAAAAAATTCTCTCTTTTTTTCCCCCCATTTCTCCCACATGCAGGACACAGGCTATTCAACATTTCCCCTTGCACATTTTCATTTTCCAATTGTAACTAAAGCATTATAATCTTGTCCATTTGCAATAATGTCTGGGATGTACCCTTCACATGAGCCACTAACAGTACATTTGAATGGCTTAAGATTTGTTTAAAACAAAACAAAACAAAAAAATAGTACTAACATTGATGATGATAAAATTTGACACCATTCATTAAGAAAAATGTACAGGATTCCATTTGTAGGATGCTACAGAAAATCCTGTATTCTAAAAAGTCCATATCTCACCATCATGCGATGCAAAGCCCAAATACATATCAATAGCTCATCATATTAAGGCATATTCAAAGGTTGTCATTTAAAAAAAAAATTATCAAAAAAGTTATGAAGTAATGCATAATTTAATAACTACAGTCCTGTATTGACGGTTTTTTCATTCATCCTCCTAAAATCAAGACAGAGACTGGCAAAGATTGTCCTGCTGCTCATGCTAGATGCATGACCCATAAATACTTGGCCTGAGATTCCTTGGATGAAGTACAACCATGATAAGAAATATAATACCCATGCTTAATGAATCTTAAGATAATTCTCATCATTGGATTCTGAAGGGGGGGAATTGATTTTTTTTCCTAGGGAAAAATTGATTATACAGACAACCATAAAAACTAAGACAAAATTGCTAAGGACTTTAGCTATTAAAATAATTGATCTTAGAACTGCAAAATTACATGATACATAAACTTTATGTGCTCTTCTTGAGGGCTTAGCTAGCTAGTTCATGGCAGGTAGGGGACAAGAACCGGTGGATGTGATGGAGAAACTAATACTATCCGTTCCTTGATTGCCACATTCTGGTGATTTCTTGTTTGTGTGGTATGGTGATGTGCTTGTCACCCTGAGCAATGTAAAATCATATTCAGAATCAATAAAACGTTCAAACACATACTTCATCATGAAACAAGAGTTCCTCAGTAGATTCAATGCACAAATATATCTCTTTGTAACCGGTTTAATACGTTTACATCATCTTTTCATGATTGGTTTAAATTTTAATCTATTTATATCTGGTACGCCAATCTCCCCCAAAATCTCCTCTCACACACACCGATGTTTTAGCTAACTTGGGAAAGAAATCAACAATTACCTTTCCTTGCGCTTCTCTAAGAACCGAGCCAAGGATGCTTTGCGCGCCTGAGGCAAGTCCACTGAAAATACACAGAAACTATGTTAGTTTGTTGTCTATCACAACGTCTAACTCAAGCTACAAGCAGAAACTTAATTATACAGTGTGCACATAGCAGGCATGAGTGCTGGTTATACCAGGTGAACCAACTTTTGTCGCTGCAGATTTTGAAGAGCTAGCTACACTAGGAGACTCCAGATTGCAACTTGGGGCAGCCGAAGATGATACTGGTCTCACAATTGCTGGTTCATTGGTGCTAGGAGGTCCTCCCACAGGCTGAGAACTAACATGGAAGGACATGGGAATCGGACTTGGTAAAGGTGAATGGTAGGATTGGCTTACAATAAACCCATCATCTTTAGAAGTCTTGTAGTTTGGTGTCTGCACTGGAGCTGTTGACACTGATTTGTTTTGATTTGGAGTACTCCCATGTCCAGCCAGCAACATAATAGCCTGGGCCTGACAGAACATTACAGTGAGCAAAAAACAATTTAAAAAGATTCGATCCAAAATTTAAACAAATAACAGAGAAGTTCAGATAAGATATATACCTTCTCGGGAGCTATGTCTTCATAAACACACACTGAACCAGCATAGAATATGGTCAGCTGAGTAGGTTTGCCAGAGGGTTGCGACGAGTTCCTGCACAAACTCAAATATCACTCACTCTACACTGCCCTATTGGCTATTTTTTGTCATTGTGAAGCTTCAAAAAATTTTTAACATGTTATTACCCTAAGTCAGTGGTACCAACAGCGTAACCGTTTGATGGAAGAACAGATACAGGGGCAATCAGAGGGACTCCTCCTTGAGGGTGTGGTTTTATGGCAGAATTGACCATGTTCTGAACATTGGTACTGACAGTACATTGGAGAACAGGACTCCTCTGATTTGATTGGTTGGAGACTGAAAATGTTCTGGCTTCTTGATGGTAGCCTGAAAGTGTATCAACTTGTTGCATAGGGTATACTGTCATTCCACGTTCATTTCCTACTTGTTTTCCCATGCTCAAACTTTTCTACAAAATTACAAGGAAATCGAGGGAAGATCAGTTACAGAACCAGACTACAAAGAGAACATAGTCTAAATTGAAGAGGTTAAGGGTATATTTGCATTGAGGAGAATAGAGAAGGGAAGGGAAGGAAAAGTTTGGCCTCTTTAAACCTACCTTCCCTTCCATTCTCCTCAAAACAAACATACCGTAACTCACGCTTTTCAACTTCGGTCATCAAAATGCATCAGCAAACTACAGAAGCAAAGAAACTTTTCACATCCAGTGACAAGATGAAAACTTGTCAAAAAATGCAGGTCCGGAATTTTCTATTTCGAGGAAAATCTTGAACAGAGATCATTTGCAGGAAAAGAAGCAATTATTCTGAGATTTTATGCATTAATGTGATAGAAGCATTGAAGCACAAACAAACCTGGATCCCACCCATGAATGGTTTCTGGTTAGAGTCAAAAGCATCAGCTGATGATGTGGTCTTTCTTGTCCTATCTTCCGGAGAAGTCTTAAAGGACAACAATTGAGGAACAGCAGAAACCTTGTTTGAAAACGACCACTGCATTCCTAAACCCCTCACTGTTGCATTAATTGGAGGTCAGAACAGTTTATAACACCAGAATACCAATCATAACCATAAGTAATGAAGTAAATTAAAAGGAGATGCTTTTGTGAATAGTAATGATAAGAAAATCACAAGGATACCTTTAAGAACTTAACCAATTTGGAGAGACACAAATCAGCGAACAAGAGTAGAGATTCCTTCTACACTCAACTTCTTAGAATCACTAGAAAATCAAAATGGACTAAACACGGCTAAACAAGGGACCAACTAATAGCCTGGAGACTCAACAACTACACATAAATCCCAGAAAAGGAGTAGAAGATCTGGAAGCAATTTCTTCGTCACAAGCTAAAGTTCTTGCAATATTTCACATATTATATTTTCTCACATGTGATCAAGTTAAGTACTTTATTGGTCAATGTCGGTAGAACCAGGCCAGCGTATAAAAAAAGCAAATTTATGAACGCAGAATAAGAAAAGGTGTTAACTCTCTATGTAGATGGGCATTATTAAATCAGAGTCCACCATGTAAAACATAAAATAGTAGTATTAAATGCTCTAATTCTTTATGAATTTTCAATATTTTATACTGTCACCATATGTTCATTTTATATCCTTGTTTCTTACTCTAGGTACCTTATATAATTGTTATTTGTCCGCACTGCTCTCACAGATTACTTTATTTTCAAAAGGCCACTCAACGCGGCAGAATAAATTAAAAAAATAGCATCACTCATCATGCCCATGTTAACCTTGAATAAAAAATTTTATAGATAGCAATTTAAATATAATTGTTATTTGCATCGAGGCTGTCATCATCATTTAAAAATTAAAACCGATGGATTCAAAATTCCAATGGAAGCAAGAAAAAGAAGCAGCACATTTTACTATAAAAAGGTAGAATAATAGCATCAGGCAACTAAGACCACGTTTTTTCCTACTAGGCAAATGCACCAGCCATTCAAGAATCTCGTCGCATATTGTTTATTTTATTCCTGTCAGAACAAAAAACTAGATAAAAATAAAGAAGTTTACAAGAACTGACAATAAGTAAAGAGCTCAATGCTACAGGGCATTCGCAGCCAATCGCCAAAAATTCATCTCGGTGAAGGGAAAATCTATGAAATATTGCTTAGCTTGTTCATATAATATCTGTTTCACTTTATTAAATTTCTCGGAATTGATTTGTTTATTATTTATTTCCTTCTTTTTTCTCGTTTGTTTTCTGGGAAAGCAGGGCCTCGGTAAAAACTAAAGAAAAGGTTGGAAAAGACCCAAAATTCTCACTTGAAGAGGTCCCCTTACATGCATGCGTAGATTCAATTGATAAAACATAGAAAAGGGAAAACGAAACAGAATCTCACAACCCAGAGCTTGCAAGTTTCCATTTTTCCCTTTTGTTCAAGAATAAATTGTGAAGTGAAAACTGTCGCTAAAAGAAATCCTAGAATAAGTAAAAGAATGAAAATACTACAATAAAAGGCAAAACCATCCATTTCAGAAGAAGAACAGAAGCATAGAAATACTACCTGGCTCGTTCGCTTTACCAGTAGTATCCTCTTTCTTAGTTGCTGAACTAACCTTTGAACTCAAACCCAGAAAATCCCGTTCCATATGGGAAAAGAAGAATCAGAGACCCAAAAAGAATTCAAACTTGTAGTAAAGGAAAGAGGAAGAAAGACTTGGTGGGGAAAAAGGTTAAGCAGCCAGTAGGGAGCAGACAGAAAAGGTTTGGTTGGCTCTGCAAGGGGGAGAGAAGGGAAAGGAAGAAGGAAAAAAACCAAGGGATGACACAGAGGAATAAAAAAAATTTTAAAAAAATGAAATAAAAGGGAGAAGCTCGTGCGTTGTTGAGGAGTTGCTCTGCGCGGCGATGTAAGAAAAAAACCTAGACCGTTGGATTTGAAAGATTCGATGACACTTCGTGAAGGTGATGAGTGAGGCTTTGATGGTCGGTGACCACGTGCGCCACCCGATCTCGACTCGCAGGTATTGGTGGGCTATTCTTTTCTTTTCTTTTCTTTTTCCCTTTTACTAGTTTCCTTTCATGGTCATGCAAATACAAACAACAGAGATTAAGCACCACCGTAATATTGACGAAACTTGCAGAAATTATTTTAAAATTAAATTTTTATGGAATGACTTAATTACTCTAGTCAAATTGGTTATCACTACTTTAATTATTGAGAAAAATTATTTGACAGGTATTTAATATTTGAAAAATACTCAAGTCAAATTACTTATATCCAACTATTCATCATATCAAGTTCTCCAATCACATGTGGCCAAATATTTTATATTTTTTCATGTAGGTTTATAATTAAATGATACTAAATATTAATATTTCAAAAAATAGAATACATAACTATATGTGTTTGGAAAACTTAACATAATAAATGTAAGAAACTTGACATAAGTATTGTCCTTTACATTTTTTTTAATTTTTAATTTGCCACGTGTGTTTTTTAATATTATATTTATATTGTTAGATTCTGTAACTTTACTCTATTAGTACTGTTAACTTTGATAAGAGGTAATAATGCAAATAGAGCAAAATTGAAATCTTTAATTAAGAGAGAAAAATTTTGCTCAGAAAAACATTAAGAGAGAAAAATACATAAATACTAAATTAAAATTTGAGAAAAAATAGAAATACATGCAAAATAGTTTTCCCTAATTGTTGTTATAAATACATGCAAAGTGACTTCCCCTAATAAGTTAAAATATTCATGCTATATTAAATGTTCTCATTTAATAAGTTAAGTTTTTTATTAAACTCTGGTTGTTATTTCGTGTTTTACTATTCAGATTTTAAACTAAGGATATTTAGATAATTTTATTCTAAAAGGTAATCTCAAACTCGTCACTCTACTCATAACTTAATAATGTTAAGTCATTTCAAGGAGGAATTGGGATTTGTCGATTTTGAGATAATTTTTTAACCCTTCTTTCTAAATACAATCGCATTATACTATGTAGATTATACATAGGGGTGTATGTATTATACCCATACACGTGTGTGTAGCACTTGTGGTTCCATTTGGTGGTATTTTTACTGCATATTAGGGTTACACATGGGTTGGGCTGTGTGGGACGAATCCCCTGCCCAATATCTAGTCCGAAAGATAAGCGCGCTGCATTTTGCAGCTTGCTGCCCGATCTTGCCCAGTAGAAACCCTAATAATTTTGGGCTAGGCAACAAAGGGTTGGGCAAAACGGGCTTTCTTGCCCAACTTAATAACACTTTACCGATATCATATATAAAAAAAATTCAAATATCATATTTTGAGGCAAGGTGAGGGGGAAAAAATTATTATAAATGACTCAATCACTTATATATGTAAGGCTTATGTAGTGTTGTTCTTCAGCCTTTGATTCCTTATGAGAGGTTGAAAAATATTTAATAACTAAAACATTTAATAACTGAGTTAATTTTATAGTTAAAATCTTTAGTTTATTCATATTGTTGGTGGATTCTTATAATCATGTGAAAGCACAAGATTTGAAAGTTGGTTTTTTTTTTTGTTTTAAAAAATTAGAGGTAAGAGGAAAAGAAAGAAATTTGACTAGGAGCAATTTAGCATATTTAATCTTATATTTGATTCTTTTATATAATTATAATTTTTATATTCTTTTCATTTTTTCTAATTTTACCTAATTTTTTAGCCAAAATAAAAAGGGATAATTACTGAAAATAATATTATATATTATAATATATATATTTTTTTTTGCAGGGTCAAATGAGCAGGGCAGCATACCTTGCCCGCAGCCCAGCCCTACCCAAAAATGCCTTTTTTTGTTCTGACAACTTTTTATTGGGCTGGGCTGAGTGTGTTTTTGCAGGTTTAGGCAGGTATATTGGGCATGCGGGTCTCATGTACACCCGTATAACTAAAAAAGTTTTTGTACTTATTAAGTGAGTTTTAACGAGAGTTTTAATCTTAACATTTTTAATCTATTTAAAATGACTTAAGAATATTTTATTATTAAAAAAAAGCCATTGTTGTTCCATTTGAGACGTGAACAACTGGCACGGCCACATCTTGTTTTAAAAAAATATTTTGGTTAAAAGTCGTGTTACTCTTCTAATACTTAATATAAAACTTATTTAACTAATTTGATTAAATTAAAAAAGTTAGGTAAGTTAGTTAATTACAAAAAATATGATATATTTTTCCTAAAACATCATAATCATCTTTTTTAATATTTTTCCTCTTTCTTTTACTTGATTATACTTAAGGGAGTATCAATGTGAGTAATTTAGAAAAAACTGATAAATATGACAAATAAGTCTTATATTTAGAATCAAAATCAACTCAACAATTAGATCCTATATTAAGGACCGGAAGAGTATTTTTTATTATACTCGCCGTAAAATGTACAGCTCGTATTCTAATTATATTCTTTGTTGTACTATATTTTGATTGTATTCTGAAAAATGAAAATTTACAAGACTCACGCAAAAACTGCGAGTCTTGTAATTCAAATAGATATACGCTACCAACGGGGGTTGGCGCAGTTGGGTAGGCAACTGCGCCACAATCCTCCTTACCTGGGTTCGATCCCTGGTAAGGAGATTGTAAAGAATCTCCGGTGGTAGCTCCCTCCCCTGGGGTACTGCCAAAGGCAGGTTTCCTTTCGGGCCTATTCGATTGGGGGCGCCAGGACTAGTCGGTTGTCGAGGGCCCATGCTGGTAAATCTGGCGTTGGCCTTCAGGTTAACGCCGGATACCTGGAAGGTGGTGCAATCGAAGGCCAAAAATGGTCCAAGCATTCATCAAAAAAAAAAAAGATATACGCTTAAATTTTTAACATCGACGATGAGATTTAAATCCTCGTTTTTGTTGGCAGAAAAATTGAGACGTTAAAAATACTAAAAAAATTTGCTGTGAACAAATTGTTTAAAAAACCGTAAAAGAATAATTAAAAATACCACTAGAAACACTGTTTAGATTTGATCTGGCAGCCTATCCCACTTTTTTTGGTTTTAAAACTAAATTATATTTTAGACCTGTGTAGTATTTTTTAAAAAGAAGTTTAAAATAAGCTATATTAATTATGATCAGCAAATAATATAATCTATAAAAAAATTTCATATTATATATGGATGAAACAATAATCTACAAAGAAAGATACATTAGTCTCTTTTTAGATGGGTGCAATTTTTTAAAAGAAAAATCTCATAAGAAAATAGAGTTTGAATAATTAAAAAACACTTCCTAACCCCTTGCCACTCTTTCCATATTTAACTGATCAGAAAATATCACGAATGCTCTCTTTTTATGACGAAAGAAAAACATGAATATCATCATCTTTAAATATAATTTAATATATCTTGTCATTACTGAACAGGACAAGCTTCTGACTTGGTTTGTACCATAACACATTGTTGGTAAAATATATATATATATATATATATATATGATAACCAAAAAAAACATGAGAAAATTGTAATTAGATATCATTTAAGTGAATTAAATACAAAACGATCTCTTAAAATTATGAAATTATTCTGAAATCTCAAGAAATTTTTTTACAATAAATTTTATTTACTTAATTACCAAATTGTCCTTATTATATTTTTTAAATTTGTATTGACAATTGAATGAGCATTCGTTAACAATTTAAGGTGTAAAGATTGACAATTATTACGGCAATTATTGACAACAAGTTTTCTTAGCACATCACAAAATGTAATGCATGAATTGTCAATACCTACCGCGATAGTGCCAATCATTGTATCTTAAGTTGTCAACCACTGCTCTTTTAGTTGTCAATGCAAACTTAAAAAAAGAAGAAGGATAATTTATTAATTAAACAAATAAAATTTATTATAATAAAATTTTTTAGAACTTCAGAATAATTTTATAATTTTAAGAGACTTTTTTATATTTAATTCCTTAAGTGAGACCTAATTATGATTTTCCCAAAAAACATTGCGTAGTACTGGCATTGTTATTATGTTTTTTTAATGGATTGATCAATAAAAAAATGGCTATTAATTTTTTTTT